GATTCAATTGAATAAGTGAGTATTGACTGCAAATTTGCTCTAACTCAATCAATAAAATCAGTGAGTCTTAACTGCAATCTTGTTCTGACTGATTCAACTGAATCAATGAGTCTTAACTGCAAAGTTCCTCTGACTGATTCAACTGAATCCATGAGTCTTGACTGCAATTTTACTCTAACTGATTCAACTGAATCAATGAGTCTTGACTGCAAACTTGCTCTGACCGAATTAAATGAATCAGTTAATGTCTACTGCAAACTTGTTCTGACCGATTAAATTGAATCAGTGAGTCTTAACTGCAAACTTGCTTTTAACTGAATCAATTGAATCTTTGAGTCTTAACTGCAAACTTGTTCTGACTGATTCAATTAAATCAGTGAGTCTGCAAACTTGCTTGGACTTATTCAATTAAATCAGTGAGTCTTAAATGCAAACTTGCTCTGACTGAATAAATTGAATCTTTGAGTCTTAACTGCAAACTTGTCCTGATTGAATCAATTGAATCAACGAGTCTCAACTGCAAACTTGCTCTGACTGAATCAACTGAATCAATGAGTCTCAACTGCAAACTTGCTCTGACTGAATCAACTAAGTAAGTGAGCATTAACTAGAAACTTGTTCTGACTGAATCAATTGAATTAATGAGTCTTAACAAACGGGCTCTGACTGATTCAGTTGAAGCCTGCATCCCACCTCAAGAGCATCAGAAGTGTTCTGCAATATGTTATGAACATAATAAGTACATTGTATTTATTCTGATGCAACTACATTGTATTTAAGGCGACCTAATTTAAAGTGCCACCCTAATTGCATTTAGTTGCCTATATGTAGTATGACTCTTACTTTAAATGATAAATTAGTACAATATTATAATTCAAGCAGTATTTATTCACCAGAACCGCAAATGTAACAGCTGCTTGTTGATATTCTGCCAGTTATTTGCTAAAAATAAGCATGCTCCTTCATATGAAAGCCTCATTGAAGCCAATTGTCATCCAGGAATCAGGGCTCATGGTTTGAATCAAACTGGCCCGAGCGAGACGGGGGACATATTTTGCATTCTAATTGAAATGAAATGGAAAGATTAGTGGTCGCACATAATGGAAACTCAAGTTGATGGTTCAAATTATGGTTTGGCTTGACATCATGGCATTTTTTTATTTATTTTTTTGCCACAGAATGTTCATAACTCTCGTTGCTATGTGCGTGGCTTAAGTGGAAGGATTTACTTTATGCTTCGGATTGGATTATAGCTTTAGATGGAAGTAATTCAGAGGAATGTCCATTTGTGCAGTTTTCAAGATAACCGTGTGAAGGTTAGAAATAGCAAGTGTTCTAATGCATTTATGAGTCACTGCTTGTGTCAATTGCTTGTGCCAATATTAGCGTTGTTTCACATTAGTTTACATTGGTGAATCAGTATATAAAATTTTATATTTCCCAAATGATGTTTAACAGAGCAAGGATTTTTTCACAGTATTTCCTATAATATTTTTTTCTTCTGGAGAAAGTCTTGTTTGTTTTATTTTGGCTAGAATAAAAAAAAAAAAAACATTTTAAAGTCAAAGGGCTTTATTTTGACGGTCCATGCGCAGATCACAAAACGCAGGGCGCAAACGCTTTCAGGGCATGTCAGAACTCATTTTTGCCAATTTAAGGACGAGAAAATCTGCTTTGCGCCGTGGCGCATGGTCTAAAAGGGTTGAGTTTATTTTCTTAATGAGTTATAGGTATGTTTTGAGAATAAACCAATTAGAGCCTCATCTCCTATTCCCTTTAAGAGCCAGCTGTGTCGCGCCATAAGCACATTTTGACGTAAAGTAAGTTCACTTTCGCTTTTGCTCTTGTGGATAGGGAAACCTTTACTCACAGACATCAATTAGCCTATAAATAATTAATTTCATTTGTTAAGCGTAAAGATTTGTTTAAAACTATTTCTAAATTCAGTCGTAATTTCCAGCAAACGAATAAATGAACAATAATAACCAAGTGTGGTCAAAATACTGAGTTATTTCCAAATACACCTGCCATGCCCCATATCGTCTAAAATTTGACAGGTGGACAAATCTAAGCTTGTTTTTAATAAAACAAATATAAATATGGATATAATAAACAATACTGCTAATAATAATAACATTATACAAAAGCAAATTGAATGAACTGAAAAAGCCTTCTGAGATGATGGCAGTGGTTTTTAAATTCATGTAGGCTAGAAATTAAAATGTTTTGTAATATTTTAGTCATTTATATTTATATCATATATATATATATATATATATATATATATATATATATATATATATATATATATATATATATATATATCCTTAATATATTATATCTTTTTCATATGTAAAGATATTTTGCTCTACATCTTAGTGTGTAAGCCAGGTGCTTTTTGCGCCAGACAATAGATCGACCTCGTTCTGGTCTAAAGATCAGACTATTTACAGTTTCTCAAAATAGCATCGCGCCAAAACACACCTGCTTTTTTAGACCAGAACGCCTATGAGCGCACATTTGAGCGCGAATGCATTTGCTATTTAAACAGTGTGGCGCAAACACCTAAAAAATGACCCTTGCTCCGAGCTGAAAGTAGCAAAAGACTTTTGCGCCGGGCCTTGCACCACATTGTGCCTTGTGTATGATAGGGCCCAATATCATTAGCTGCTTTAAGCTATTTTTTTTTTTACGGAGACCCAAAAGGGATGTGATAGTGGAGAGAAAAAAAAAAAAAAACGGGTGGAAGGAAAAAAAATTTGTGGGAGAAAAAAAAAAACTGAGTGATAGCTAAACATATTTTTTAAATTTCTTGCGTTCCCTCAAAAATATGTTTTGCCTTACCTCGCAAAACTGGTCGACAAACACCACTTCATACATGACCTGTTTTTGCCGGGATTCTCCCTTAGTTTACCATTATATCCTATTATTAGGTATTTCCCCATATTTCTCTTATATTTTTATTCTTGAAAGCATATTGAACTTAATATAAAATGTTCACTTTCTTTCCATTAAAGCTGTGCGTCGATCAGCGCCCCTCATGTTCAATCTCTGAATAAGAGGTGTCACTTTACATAGCGTGTACAGAAGCATATGAGGGGGGCTGATCGACGCACAGCTTTGATGGAAAGAAAGTGAATTCAGAAATTTTTATATTAATTTCAACATGCTTTCAAGATTAAAAATATGAGAAATATGGGAAAACACCTAATAATAGGATATAATGGTAAAATATGGGAGAATTCTGTCAAAAACAGGGTTGTTGTATGAAGGGAAGTGTTTGTCGAACAACAGGGAACGCAAAACATATTTGCGAGGCAACCCAAAAACTTTTAATATGTTTACCTATCACTGTTTTTTTTTCTCCCACTAATTTTTTTCCTCCACCCATTTTTTTTACTCCACCAGCATGTCCCTTCCGGGTCTCTGTATTTTTTTGATTGTCTACAGAACAAACCAGAACTAGATGATTTGCCTAATTACCCCTAATTAACCTAGTTAAGCCTTTACATGTCTCTTTAAGCTGAATACTATCTTGAAAAATATCTAGTCAAATATTATGTACTGTCATCATGACAAAGATAAAACAAATCAGTCATTTGAAATAAGTTATTAAAACTATTATGTTTAGAAATATGTTGGGAAAAAAAACTTTCTGTTAAACATAAATTATAGAGAAAAATATGTACAGGGGGCTAATAATTCTGACTTCAACTGTATTAGACATTGCTCATACTTGGTTTGATCCCCTATTAGAACTGCCTTGCTTATTTATGCCACATATTTAACACAATTCTGGAAACATTCCTTCATACTTCACACAGATTTATCAGCTACACATTTACAGCGAGTCTCTCATTTCCAGCACATCCCAAATGTGCTCTACTGGATTTAGGGGTGTAAACTCGGTGTCCTGGCCAAATTCCCTCCATCGGCTCTTACCCATCATGACCCAAATCCTCAAAATTGGCTCTATCACTGTCTCTCCACTCCTCAATAGCTGGCGTGTGGTAAGCGCACTGGTGCCGTTGTCCTGTGGCTGCCGTCGCATTATCCAAGTGAACGCTGCACATGGTGGTGGTGTGGAGAGACCCCTCTTATAATTGTGAAACACTGCCATACACAATAAATGCGCTATATAAATACAATACACAATCACATTCTAAACCTGACATTCATCACCTGTCATCATCCAAAATAAATTTAAATGTCAGTAAAAGTATTACAACAAATAAAAATAAATTACAAAATGCATAGAAATACTATTTTAAAGTAGATTTATTTCATTTTTGTATTTTCATATGCACATATTTGTACTATTTAAAGCTTAGATGTTTGAAGCAGTTACATTAACTTATATATATATATATATATATATATATATATATATATATATATATATATATATATATATATATATATATATATATATATAATATATACAGTTGAAGTCAGAAATATTAGCCCCCCTGAATTATTAGACCGCTTTATTATTTTTCCCCAATTTCTGTTTAACAGAGAGATTTTTTTCAACACATTTCTAAACATAATAGTTTTAATAACTCATTTCTAATAACTGATTTATTTTATCTTTGCCATGATGACAGTAAATAATATTTGACTAGACATTTTTCCAAGACACTTCTATACAGCTTAAAATAACATTTGAAGGCTTAACTGGGTTAATTAGGTTGACTAGGCAGGTTAGGGTAATTAGGCAAGTTATTGTATAACCATGGTTTGTCTGTAGATGATCGAGAAAAGATATAGCTCAAAAAGGCTAATAATTTTGTCCCTAAAATGGTGTTTATAAAGTTAATATTTGCTTTTATTCTAGCCGAAATAAAACAAATAAGACTTTTTCCAGAAGAAAAAATATTATCAGACACACTGTGAAAATGTCCTTGCTCTGTTAAACATTGTTTGCAAAATATTTAAAAAGAAGAAAAAAAATCGAAGGGGGCTAATAATTCTGACTTCAGCTGTGTGTGTTTGTGTATATATATATGTAATTAAAGTTGTTGAGTTGCATTTAAAATTTAATTGTACAAAATTACTTAATACAATAATAAATAACAATTACAAAGCATTTTTTAGTACTGGTTTCCAGACGAGTTCATCCAGAGTTTCTGTTCTGGCCTAGAATTTCAATTTCAGTTCATTTCCAGATATCATTATATTTTTTATATTTTATCAATTAATACAATAATAAATAATAATTACAAAGCATTTTTAGTTTTGGTTTCCTGACAAGTGCATCCAGAATTTCAGTTCCAGCCTTGAACTTTTATTTCAGTGCATTTCTACACAAAAACAAAATTATTCATTGGATTTACCACTTTTTTTTTAAGGTAAGTGGTTGCAAACAATTTATTTGAGCTGAATTTAAGCAAACAAATAATTTGAACAATATTAAATTGACCTTGTTTGTTTAAATTCAACCAAAATAAATTGTTTGTAACCACTTAAAAACAAACCACTTTAAAAAAACGACTAAAATTGAGTAAATCCAATGTAATTTCAGCGTGCTTGTAATGCATTACCCTTAACACATTATCATTCTCAGCGTGAACGGGATTTATTCTATGGTGAGCTCAGACGCAGATTTCTCAATCTCTTCCATTGGTGGTTCTTGGTTTCCGTTAGTAAACACTGAGATGGAGCTGTCTTTAGTTTCATTTCGCACAGTCTTCAGGAAGGTCATGATGCCTGATCCTCCGGTTCCTCTTTCCTCCAGTGCTGTCGGAGCTCGGCTGATTGTGTCCAGTTCCTCCATCAGATTTTGCTTATTGGCACGGAGCTGTTTGGCACGGGACGCTGGTATTGTGATGAAACGGGTGACGATGTTGATGTGGCAGTTTCGAAAGTCCACCAATCCAGCCACGCACTTGTCAAACGCATGTGTCAGACGCTCATCCGCTTGCTGGAGCACAAAGTCACGCAGAGACGGACAAATGGAGATCTCCTGGATGAATTGTTTATGGGAGGGAGGCATGTAGTCCCTCATTCTCTTTAAGAAGGCCCCTGATTGCACAGAATCGACAGAGATCAGCGATATTTGGGTACACTTTAGAATGTTCAACATAAATGAGTTATGAAAATTAATACTTGTATCCATTTCTCAATACATGTAGGTCATATCTTGGTGTATTTGAATAAAATGGCTTCATTGAATAGATATATTTATTAAAATAATATTGTGGTCACTGAAAATCTGTAGAAAAAGAAATATAATGCATTTAAATTTATGCAAAATATTGGGGGGAAATATAAGCTACAAAATTGCAACAACATTTTTTACATTTTTTGTTTCTCTTAATACTTGGCGGTTCATTCCGCTGTGGTGACCCTAGATTAATAAAGAGACTAAGCAGAATGAATGAATGAATAAATTTAATACTTTACTGTTTCCCAACTCTGTTCCTGGCGGCACACCAACAGTACATATTTTGCATGTCTCCCTTATCTGCCCCATTAACTTCAGGTTTGGGGTCTCTTCTAATGTTCTGATGAGTTGATTCAGGTGTGTTTGATTAGGGAGATGTTGAAAATGTGTACTTATGATGTGCCTTCAGGAACAGGGTTGGAAAACACTGCTCTAACATATAAATTTGGGTGTAATTTGGGGTGTCAAACTACTACATATGCCATAAAATCCACTAGAGGGCGCTGCTTATATTTTTGCCAATCTGAAATAAGTTACCTCAGGGTACATTGTATTGTTCATTACAGATACACATCCCTCTTGCACACGCCCACAAGAAGGCGAGGCTTGTCATACAGAATGATGACTTGTCTATATGTCATGACTATGATGACAATATGTCATGCAGTTGGTGAATACACTGCACTGTAAAACAATATCTGTTAATTAACAGTTTCCGTATTTTGTGTTTTCTGTGTATTTACCATTGTGAATTGCATTATGCTTGATCTCTGCTTTGTTAGTTTGTAATGTTGAAAATTTTACTTTTACAAACATTTTAGTAGTTTGAAGTAATGTCATTTTTAATAAATAATAAGTAAATAGATAAATCTGTAACATGTATTGAAAGTTTAACAGGGTTTTTGTACCATAATATACAACACCAACCCAGACAAAACATCAATTTAAACTAGAGATGCCCAAACTAGGACCTGCGGGTCAAAGTTGGCCCATGATAACCTTTGATGTGGCCCACCATCCCATCTAAAAAGAGATTTACAATGATGGGAATGTTGGGGCGAATGCCTTCAACAGAGATCGCCATTCGTAACAACGTAACCTTTGTTTGTTTGCTTGTTTGTTTGTTTGCTTGTTTGTTTGTTTGTTTGTTTAATTATTGAGCTACAAAAAAGACAACTAAAATGAAATTTTTCAATTAAATGTTGTGTGGCGAGGCAGTGGCGCAGTAGGTAGTGCTGTCGCCTCACAGCAAGAAGGTCGCTGGTTCAGCTCAGTTGGCGTTTCTGTGTGGAGTTTGCATGTTCTCCCTGCCTTCGCGTGGGTTTCCTCCGGGTGCTCCGGTTTCCCCCACAGTCCAAAGACATGTGGTACAGGTGAATTGGGTAGACTAAATTGTCCATAGTGTATGTGTGTGTGAATGTGTGTGTGGATGTTTCCCAGAGATGGGTTGTGGCTGGAAGGGCATCCGCTGCGTAAAAACTTGCTGGATGAGTTGGCGGTTCATTCCGCTGTGGCGGCCCTGGATTAATAAAGGGACTAAGCCGACAAGAAAATGAATGAATGAATAAATGTTGTGCATGGATCATATTTTTATGTAAAGTAAATACTGTCACTCGAAGATAGACAATGCACAAGGCGGTGCAGCTTGACTCGTGTATTCAGCATTGATAACCATTGTGTTGTAAATGTGTTTGTTTATGTTTTTTATTGTAAGAATAATATTTATAATTTCATTATAAAATGTAAAAAAAGTCTAGTTATTAATATGATTAAAGTATTATTATTATTTTAAACATTAATATATTTGGATGACACGGTGGCTCAGTGATTAGCACTGTCGCCTCACAGCAAGAAGGACGCTGGTTCGAGACCTGGCCAGTTGGCATTTCTTTGTGGAGTTCTCCCCCTGTTGGCGTGGGTTTCCTCCGGGTGCTCCGGTTTCCCGCACAATCCAAAGACATGTGCTATGGGTCAACTCATTCATTCATTTTCTTGTCGGATTAGTCCCTTTATTAATCCACAGCGGAATGAACCGCCAACTTATCCATCAAGTTTTTACGCAGCGGATGCCCTTCCAGCCGCAACCCATCTCTGGGAAACATCCACACACACATTCACACATTTAGTCTACCCAATTCACCTGTACCGCATGTCTTTGGACTGTGGGGGAAACCAGAGCACCCAGAGGAAACCCACGCGAAGGCAGGGAGAACATGCAAACTCCACACAGAAACGCCAACTGAGCCGAGGTTCGAACCAGTGACCCAGCGACCTTCTTGCTGTGAGGCGACAGCACTACCTACTGCGCCACTGCCTCGCCCTATAGGTGAACTGAATAAACTAAATTGGCTGTAGTGTATGAGTGTGTGAATGTGTGGGTCTATGGGTGTTTCCCAGTACTGGGTTACAGCTGGAAGGGCATCAACTGTGTAAAACATATGCTGCATAAGTTGGCGGTTCATTCCACTGTGGTGACTCCTGATAAATAAATGGACTAAGCCTAAAGAAAATGAATGAGTGAATACATTAGGAAATTACCAAGGCAGCTTTAATGGTATATTTACCTTCGGCCCACCCCCCTCAATCAACTTTGGTTTTTGCCGCATCATAAGCAAACATTTGGGCACCCCTGATTAAAAATGACAACTATTAAAAATGGCAAAAAAGGTCACTTTTTGAGGTAGAAAGAAAAAATTAAAAAGATTGAGGTCTCATAATGTGATTTAGAAGCATTAATAAACAGGGAAAAATAATAAAAATACGGAAAACTGCTAATTTCCTACTATATTTTTACAGTGTGCATAATAACCTCGAGCAGATTTAGGGATGATTCTCCTACCATTGTTGCCTTCATGTTGGATTCCCAGCAGCTCATCAAGGCAGTGTAAGATGCTGCTCTGTGCTGCACTGCCTCCAGAAAACTCCATAGGCTGATCATCAACTCCTTCATACACCAGACCTTCAGCCATCGACGGGTTATCTTTCCATCTAACAACCACAAGCAGAAAGAGATGAGCATATCATCCATTTAGAGGAACTTAAAGGATAACAACCCTAGAGTACAGCTTACCCAGAAAGAAAGATCCTTATAACGCCGTAGAATATGGAGGGATCTACATATTCTGAAAGAGTAAGACAGACTTTTGAAGTCCTCCTGTGATTATTTCAAATATTTCCCAACTTATATTTAAAGGGTCACGAAACACCAAAACACATGTTTTGAGCTGTCGACAGTCGTATATGTGTCCCACACTGCTAAAAACACTATTAGGACACCTATATTTCACTAAAAAGTGTAAATTGGTTGTTTTTGCGTTATTTCAAGCAAATTCGTACTTCCGGTATGAAACAAATTTTTGAAGCTGCGTCATGGACATGACATATTAGCGTGTATTCCAGCGTGCAGACTGGACGTCTGTGCCAGAGTGTGTCTTATTACGTCTTACAGTGTGATGCATTAATGCATGAGTAAAGCTTGGTTCAAACCAATCAGCGCGCCCTATTGTGCAACTTCATTAATATTCATTACTGTCACAGTGTTTAGACGACAGAGACGCCACGTTGTGTTGGCAAAACAAGCGTGAAGTGTTGCTTTTATAGTTTGCTGCAGTTAAATTTTGTTTTCATTTTCTCTCTGTGAGAGCTCAGCTGGAGTCACGTGTGGATTAATAGTGTACGCGACACTCGACAACAATAACTTTACGTGTCTAAGGAGGATTATTGTTTACCTGAGAGCTGTTCTCATCTGCAAACGCTGAGATCCGGATTCGCTTGTAGTCTCCTCTTAATAAAGACGCGGCTCTAGTTGCTGGTGATTGTTCTGTCTCTACAGATTTGGTAAGTGAGTGACCAGTGCTCTTTGTTTATTCAGTTTGTTCGTATCGAACTAACTATTGCACCGAGTGTAAACATGTTAGCATCACAACCAAGCTTTAACCTCGTGTAGGATTTTCACCGCATTTTGTGACCGGAATAACACACGCGGCTTTTTGACGCTACCTGCCGTGTGCATCTAAGTTTCCGGGAAATCTGAGGTTTTTTTTCTCTCATTCGCCGTGCGGTATCAAACATTGCATGAAAAATACACGCTTAGAGCAGATCCTCGAATCAAATATCTCGTTTGTCGCGAGGGGCTTGAATGAATTCCCTGAATGAAAGAGCCAAACTGCAGTTAAAGTCCACCATTTAATAATTTGGCAAATAATTCGACTACAGATGTCCATGTAAACACCACCACTTTCTCCCCTGTGTGTGTGTGTGTGTGTGTGTGTGTGTGTGTGTGTGTGTGTGTGTGTGTGTGTGTGTGTGTGTGTGTGTGTGTGTGTGTGTGTGTTTTTTTGACTCTGAAACTCGCGCGTGCCCAAATAGACACTCCCACACCATCCCTGTTTAGTTCCTCCGACACTCCCCCCTAAACAGAGCTGGACACGCCCACTTTTCTGACTTTTTCCAAAGTAGAGGTGTGAAAACACCCTGCTGAAATGAGGGGGTTTCATGGCTCTTTAACAGAGCAAAGAAATTTTTATAGTATTTCATTTTTTTTCTCTCAGAGAAATTCTTAATTGTTTTATTTTGGCTGTAATAAAAGCAGTTTTTAATTTTTAAAAAATCATTTATTCATTCATTCATTTTCTGCTGCTTTTCCGGGGCCGGGTCGTGGTGGCAGCAGTCTCAGGAGAGAACCCCAGACTTCCCTCTCCCCGGACACTTCCTCCAGCTCCTTCGGGGGGATCCCGAGGCGTTCCCAGGCCAGCCGAGAGACAAATTCCCTCCAGTGTGTCCTGGGTCTTCCCCGAGGCCTCCTCTCGGTGGGACATGCCTGGAACACCTCCCTAGGTAGGCGTCCAGGAGACATTCAAAACAGATGCCCGAGCCACCTCAGCTGACTTCTATCGATGTGGAGGAGCAGCGGCTCTACTCCAAGCTCCTCCATGGTGTCAGAGCTTCTCACCCTATCCATAAGAGTGCGCCCTGCCACCCTTATAAGGGAACTCATTTTGGCCACTTTGTATCCGAGATCTTTCCCGACAGCTCATGACCATAGGTGAGAGTAGGTTCGTAGATTTCCGGTAAATCAAGAGCTTTGCCTTTCGTCTCAGCTCCTTCTTTACCACAACGGACTAGTACATTGACTGCATTACTGCTGCCGCTGCACCAATCCGCCCGTCAATCTCACGTTCCCATCCTTCCCTCACTTGTGAACAAAACCCCAAGATACCTGAACTCCTACACCTGGGGTAAGTACTTTTCCGGTGGTTTAAAAAACTTTTTAAGGTCAATATTTATTAGCCCCCTTAAGCAATATTGTGTTTTGTCTACAAAACAAATCACCATAATAAAATGACTTGTCTAATTTCTCCCTAATTAACCTAGTTAAGACTTTCAATGTCACTTTAAGCTTAATACTAGTATGCTGTCATCACGGCAATGCCAAAAGATTATTAGGAATAAAAGGCTTTTAGAAATCAGTTATGTTTGGAAATGTGTTGGAAAAACTTGGGGAACAAATAAACAGAACAAAAAATACAGTGAATTAAAAAACCCAACTTTACTATGACAAGCGAAACATGCTTAAATGAGTTCATTAATAATCAGAGTGTGTGTGTCACCTGGAAATATTACCATGCATTCGTTTCAAGGCCTGTTTCATGCTGTCGATGGACTGGCTGATCACATCCAGAGCTTTGGTGACTCTTTCAATGTCGTTATAATGGACACCGTTGATGACATCAATGATAGCCTGTAAAAAAAGACATATAATTAATTTATTTTGATGTTTTTCAAGAATTATTGTGATATACAGTCAAAAACTGTACTTTTTTTTTTACAAGTTATTAAGCGAAAACTAGAGCGGTGCGGTGGCGCAGCGGGTAACGCTGTCACCTCACAGCAAGAAGGTCGCTAGTTTGAGCCTCGGCTGGGTCATTTGGCATTTCTATGTGGACTTTGCATGTTCTCCCTGTGTTGGCGTCGGTTTCCTTCGGATAATCCTGTTTCCACCACAGTCCAAACACAATCGCTATAGGTGAGTTGCATTGGTGAACCTAATTGGCCATAGTGTATGTGTGTGCATGTGTGTATTGGTGTTTCCCAGTGATGGGTTGCAGCTGGAAGGGCATATGCTGCGTAAAAAACATATGCTGAATATGTTGGTGGTTCATTCCACTGTGGCAACCACAGATTATGATAATTGATGATTAAATGTGGGCCAAGGTAGTGGCGCAGTAGGTAATGCTGTCGCCTCACAGCAAAAAGGTCGCTGGGTCGCTGGTTCGAGCCTCGGCTCAGTTGGCGTTTCTGTGTGGAGTTTGCATGTGGGTTTCCTCCGGGTGCTCCGGTTTCCCCCACAGTCCAAAGACATGTGGTACAGGTGAATTGGGTAGGCTAAATTGTCCGTAGTGTATGAGTGTGTGTGTGAATGTGTGTGTGGATGATTCCCAGAGATGGGTTGCGGGTGAAAGGGCATCCGCTGCGTAAAAACTTACTGGATAAGTTGGCGGTTCATTCCGCTGTGGCGACCCTGGATTAATAAAGGGTCTAAGCCGACAAGAATATGAATGAATGAATGATTAAATGAATTAATGAAGAGAAAACTGTATTACATTTTACAAGGAAATTTCAATTATTAATTTTCCTTGGGCTTAGTCCATTATTCATCAGGGAATTATTCATTAATCCACAGTGGAATGAACCACCAACTATTAAAGCTTATGTTTTACAGGGCGGATGCCCTTCCAGCCACAACCCAGTACTGGGAAACATCCATATACTCTTTCATTTACACACGCACTCATACATTTCGGCCAATTTAGTTCATCCAATTCACCTATAGCGCATGTGTTTGGACTGTGGGGGAAACCATAGCACTCGGATGAAAACCCAGGCCAACACGGGGAAAACATGCAAAGTCCACAATGAAATGCCAACTGGCCTAGCCGGGACTTGAACCAGCGACCCACATAGCAAAATTTCTCTTGCCCAGCTCTGGCCCACACAATCAGCTTTTGCTTGGCCCACATGCCTTAGTGATTTACGGTAGTGGACCAAGTCTGGCTTCCAAACAAGAGACAAACACGGACCATATCTGGGCCAAGTCTCAGGCAAGTTAATAACCCATAATTGGGCCAGATATGTTGGTGTGTCACGAGTCACGACTGCAATGAAATTGATAAACAGATGAAGCATTGTGCCGTATACGCACTATGGGCATGCTTTTTCTCAAAGCAACCTGATTGGTAGAATTTTACATGTGGGTCAAGATAGGCCAAACTTACAAGGCCCACATTATAAATTATTAACATCTGGGCCAAATGCTACATTTTACATCTGGCTCAAGTATTGTGTGCTGCCTGAAGCCCGGCTCATGTTTAGCCCTCATGCTGTATACCAGTGCTGGATGAATGCCTGCTGTGCCAGCTTTATGCTGGGCCAGAATTCTTTGCTAGCTGGGGACCTTCTTGCTGTGAGTGCAACATATAATCACTTAAGCAATATTTTTTAGTTGAATTGAATATCTTTTTAATTTATTTATTTAATTAGGCTACTTTTTTTCTGATTTTAATAGCTAACCACATTATCTGAGAACTATCTTAACAACGAGTTAATACATTTTCCTTAAAAGTAAATGCCTTGTTTTAAGATTTGAATTTTTGCACTGAAAACAATTTGCAAAGTTTTCAATCGGAAACGCCATTTTTTTCACATGCATTGCATTTAACAAGTAAGATTAGATTCCAGTTACTAGTAAAGTAAAACATTAATGTTTAATGAAACATTAATAAAAGTTTCGTCTTCAAAAAATAAAAAGGTACAAGCAGGTAACTACTTTAACTGACGAGAATTTACATTTGCTTTTTTTCACTTCACATGTCACTTTTGGCATAAAAGAGCCTTAAAATAGTCAAAAATAGTTATAATATATAATAACATTGTACAAAGGATTGAGGAAATGACAACAAAACATGGGACTGTCCCCGCAAAACAAGAAAATCTGGTCATCTTACAATAAAGGTTGGGGAAGTATGCTAAATTATAGGTAGCCCCTGCTGGTATATATTGTTACTACAGTTGGAATCTTTCAAAGCTCAATTGGTTCACCCCAAAAAATGAAAAATCTGTCATAATTTACCCCCTGTAGATATATATATATATATATATATATATATATATATATATATATATATATATATATATATATATATATATATATATATATATATATATATATATATTTCCCAGAGATGGGTTGCGGCTGGAAGGGCATCCGCTGGGTTGGTGGTTCGTTCCGCTGTGGCGACCCCGGATTGATAAAGGGACTAAGCCGACAAGAAAATGAATATATATATATATATATATATATACAGAACAAACCAATGACTTCCCTAATTAAACTTAACCTAGTAGTTAAGCATTTAAGTGTCACTTTAAGCTGAATACTAGTAGCCGATCTTGAAAATTATCTAGTCACATATAATGGATGTAATCATGGCAAAGATAAAAGATTTTTAGGAATAAAAGGTTATTAGAAATGAGTGATTCAAATATCATGTTTAGAAATGTGTTGATAAAAACGTTTAAATCCAATTCAAATTGAACAGGAGGGCTAATAATTTTGACTTGAATGAATATTAGATTATCTTCTGTGTTCTGTCTTGTATTTTTTGTAAAGGTGTCTGACCTTCAGACCAGGAACGGCCGCCAGCTCCACCAATAGCGTGACCAGAAAAAATCCTCTTAAACTTTGACCTCCAGGCAACGACAGCAACAGCTCCAGATTCCTTACATTAACGCCACATAAACAAATTAACTACAAAGCTTACAAAATATGCTTCACAAATACAAATATTTTGTCTTGCTCTTTGATTTAATGCAATTTATTGATCAGATGCTGCAATGAAGGATCTGACCAGTCTAGAGAGTTTTTAGTTTATTTTCCCCCCCACATATTTCACGTTGTATATTATGATATGGCTCCCTCTGCTGGTTTTAACAATGAATAACATTACATTTAACAATTAATTCATCGAAAGTAGTACTTACTCCATGGTGAAGGGACTGTGGAAAATCAGGATCCAGTTGTATATGAAAAAGAAAACATACCATAAACAGTTAGTTTGCTTAATAATATACAAGTCACATCTGCAACATAGCTGATTTATCGGTCACAGTTTACAATAAGGTTTATTAGTTATTGTTAATTAATGTATTTACTAACATGAACAAACAATGAACAATACATTTACTACTGTATTTGTTCATGTTAGTTAACGGTAGTTAATGAAAATACAGTAGTTCATTGTTAGCTCATGTTAACTCGTGGTGCATTAACTAATGTTAACAAGCATGGACTTGGATGTTAATGCATTAGTAAATGTTCAATCATGATTAATAAATGCTGTTCATGTGCTGTTCATGATTAGTTCATGTTAGTAAATGCATTAACTAATAAACCTTATTGTAAAGTGTTACCGATTTATCTACACATAAGCCCATCATCCACTTTAATTTTATCTGTTTGTTGGACTGGGTTTTGCATTGGGCTTTTTTCTTATTGGAAGTGCTTTTTGTTTTTGGAAGCTCGATGCATTACAGCTTCGCCTTACACGCAGAAAGGCTACATTTTGGGGTCTTATAGAGGACTTCAGGTGTCTTGCAGAGGACCAGCAGCACACTAGGCCGATTATAATTTGATTTGTCTGTATATTGTAGTTTTGTAATATGTTGCTGATATGGTGGCAAGATTTCAGGGAAGCAAAGCAGAGACTTTTATCTGCTTCAGTGGTCAAACTAGCATGGAAATGTTACTTTTGAAATACAAAACATGGGAAGGAAACATTTATTTACCATAAGCATATCTGTTTTCAATTAATAAAAGCTGCAGTCAAGGATTGAGGAACTGACAACAAAATGCGAGACTGTCCCCGCAAAACAAGAAAATCTGGTCATCTTACAATAAAGTTTGGGGAAGTTTGCTAAATTATACTTTGTAGTTAGCCCCTGCTGGTGCATATTGTTACTGCAGTTGTAATCTTTCAAAACTCGCTCTTAGCAATTGGTTCACCCCGATAAATGAAAAATCTGTCGTAATTTATTAATTTAAAATTTCAGCTCAAAATATCGCACAAATAGTGCTTTATAACTCAATTGGTCACTTTAAATTCAAATGAGATGCTCTTTTCTAAAAGGGCAAAGCTACAAACGCTTGTGTGTCTGCATGGCAGATTCAAAAACAAGTCTAAGGTCCTATGATAATGGCAACCCAAGTTCATTCTGAAAACGTAGTCCCGCAGATGTTCCTGGAGACGGTAATTTATGTAACCGGAGGTACGTATGGCTGTATTTCATTTTTTTAAACGAAAGCTACGGGGCGGTGTGATGCCGCTCCTCTTCGCGCTCGCCGGCTGACAGCTCACCTCCGTGCGGAAGGCTTTCCTGCTGCAGCCAGTTTGTCCGGTTAGCTTGTCGTGTAAGTCGGCGGAGTGGAGACCCGGAGGGCAGCTGACCGCGACGACCGGGTTCAAGTCTGGAGAAGAGTAGTTACAGAAATCAGGTAAGACAAAAACAGAATCCAAAAAATAAAGTGAACGAGTAAACAACAGTGTGAAAACGCGGTTAAAATCAGATGAGGGCTTTTCTTTTTCTGGACGGCTTTTGTAAATCGTTGCTTGGGTTTAGGGAAGCAAGCGGGCGGGCAGGTCAATTGGTAAAACCAGTTGGGTTTAGGGAAGGAGGAGGAGGATGGTGTCGGCCGAATGGCTGGTCGTCCAGTCAATCATTCAGTCATTTAGTCAGTCGGACAGACGGTCACTCAACAGCGGCCTCCAGCAGCTATAAACGAGAAAAGCGTGGGCGCGAACAGTGCTCGCGAGAGACGTTTGAGATGCAAAAAAGAGCACACATCGGCCTCTGGCGGATTCGCGAAAACAAAAACTGCACAAATATGTACCTCCCGGGACGTATTTTGCAGTCTCCAGAAACGTCCGCGGGACTACGCTTCCAGAATGAGCCTGGGTGGGATAATAGGGAAGAGATGGTCACTAATGGGCGGGGCTTTCCCCCTCTGATGACACGTACAATAATGTCAATCAAAGCATTTCTGCAGACTGCTTTTATCAAGTTTTAATCAAATTTTGTAGAATAAGAGTTATGCTCACAGACTGTTGCCACACGACTGTATTTAAGTGAAGTTTTTAAACTAATTTCGAGAGGAGCACGTGATATAATTGACCGCAGCTGGCCGCCTATCTACACTCATTAGTTAGCCAATCAGATCTATTCCAAATTACTATAAATAGCCTAGCTAGATATTACTCCCTTACCTTCGTTTTCCGAAGAAACCCCCCATCCACCCCCTATCTCCTCCTTTCCTCCCTTTAAAAAGGGGAGCTCTCGAGAACCACCTGATCTCGTACTCCCCTTACATGCTCTATGGACCTGGCGGGAGCCCTGGGCTCAACTATCTCCGAGCTCAGGGTTCTCTCCCGGGACAGCATGCCAAACCTGCTTACAGTCGTCAAGCAATATCTAAGTGTGAACTCTTGAAACCCCTTATAAAAGTGATTTTTTTTAATAATAGGTCCTCTTTAAAATCGCATAAGTCATTTACCCATTTGGATCTGTTTTCTTCCAGTTGGCAAGCACTGTGTCGGCATGGATTAGGATTGGTGGCAGACCCAATCTCCGAGAAACGTCACAGAACGGTACAGAAAGAGTCTGCGGAAGCATCTGGAAGATCAGAACACACATGTGCAGTTAGACAAGTTCACTTTTGTGCTTCGGGACCATTAGTGGTCTGAATAGCATTTAAAGTCATTGTACTTTTACGGTTTCTTTTTCTCCCTCCTGCCATACGTAACCCATAGCCATTACGCTCAATGTCAGATGAGCCAATCGCAGCTCACGATGGGTTCGCAGCAAATCAGTCGTCAACAGAGGCATCTGAGATAGAAAAAACACATACAACTATTACCAAGCTCTAGAATATATGAATATCATACACTTTATTTTGACCTATTCAGTCACTGTAAAAAGCGATTCGTGTTAATTAACTTAAAAAGGTGAGTTATTCCTTTACGTTAAAAGCAACAAGTTTACTTTACTTTAAAACGCTAGTTAATCCGTTTTGGAATGGTTAGGTTGACTTAATTTTCATAATTATGCACAGAAATTGTTTATTTGGTTTTAAGGCGACAGGTTTACTCGCCTTTTTAAGTAAAGTCAACTAATTGTTTTAAAGGCAACGGGTTTACTCTCTTTTTTAAGTAATCATTGGCATTTCTGTGTGGAGTTTGCATGTTCTCCCCGTGGTTGCGTGGGTTTCCTCCGGGTGCTCCGGTTTCCCCCACAAGTCCAAAAACATGCGGTACAGGTGAATTGGGTATAAGCTAAAACATATGTGTGTGAATAAGAGTGTATGAATGTTTCCCAGTGATAGGTTGCAGCTGGAAGGGCGTCCGCTGCGTTAAAAACATATGCTGGATATGTTGGCAGTTCATTCCACTGTGGCGATTAATAAAAGGACTAAGCCAAAAAGAAAATTAATGAATTGATTAATCGCCTTAAGAGCAACAAGTTTACTCTCATATTTAAGTAAAGTCAACTAATCGCTTTAAAAGCAACAGGTTTACTCACTTTTTTAAGTAAAGTCAACTAATCGCTTTAAAAGCAACAGGTTTACTCACTTTTTTAAGTATAGTCAACTACTGGCTTTTTACAGTGCTGTTTTTTATTTATTTATTTATTTTTATTTTATTTATTTACTTTTTTTTCGCCAGAGTAGAATGAACTATAAATTACATGTTAATATAATAATGTTTAACAAAATGCCGTAAAAAATAAATAAATAAATAATTAAGCATGGTGGCATGTGACACAAAAAATGCATTTTTGTTGGATTTATGTTATAATTTTAAAAGCAAACTAAGTTTTAATAAGTTTTAATTATTTAACTTGTTACAGTTATAATCAAAAATAATAAATGTAGAACAAAATGAAGAGCATAACAGAATGCATGCATATACTGCAGTTATTTGGATTTTCCCAGCTATTCATAAACAATTTGAAATAGAAGTAAATTTTCATTTTGCAGCTATAATTAATTACATTTGAACCAGTATTTGTATTAATTATCTCATAATTCATACTTAGTACTGTTTTATACTATAATTATCATATATTTTATAATGATCTTATTTTTGCATAACTTGAATCTGTTAGGATGAAACAGATGAGATATACGACGAGGGAAATAAGTATTGAGCACATCATGGTTTTTCCTGGGCATAATGTTTCTTAAGGAGCTGTTGACATGGAATTAAACCAGATTTTGGTAAAAACCCAAACAATGCAAACATTAAAATAAAACAGACCAAAACAAATCTGAAAGAGGAGTTCTGTGTAAGGGCTGCCCGGTGGAGCAGTGGGTAGCATGTTCGCTTCACAGCAATAAGGTTGCTGGTTCGAGCCTCGGCTTCAGTTGCCGTTTCTGTGTGGAGTTTGCATGTTCTCCCTATGTTCGCATGGGTTTCCTCAAGGTGCTCTGGTTTACCCCACAAGTCCAAAGACATGTGGTATAGGTGAATTAGGTAGGCTAAATTGTCCATAGTGTGAGAGTGTGAATGACAGTGTATGGGTGTTTCCCAGGGATGGGTTGCAGCTGAAAGGGCATAAAACATATGCTATATAAGTTGGTGGTCCAGTCCGCGATGGCGACCCTAGATTAATAAACGTGCTAAGCTGAGAAAATGAATGAATGAGTTAGGTGTATTAACAATGGAATGACACAAGGAGGAAGAGCTGAACTACTGAAACGTATTTAAACACTTTATATACAGGCTTTTTTAGCGCTGCAGCTTAAAGACGAATCTCATATGGAGAATGAAGTCACATGCATGGCTCGGGTGTGAGTTTCTCAAAGACTTCAGCAGAGTGTAAATATCTTGATGGTTCTGTGGGTCTCGTCTATCAAATATAAGCTTCATTTTGTATTTTCTATTGGATTGGAGTCAGGTGATTGGCTGGGCCATTTTACAACTTCATTTTCTATCTCTAAAAGCGTTTGAGAGTTTCTTTGGCTGTGTTTTGGATCCTTGTCTTTCTGAAATGTCCACCCTAGCTCCATCTTCATCCTCCTAATGTAGATGTTGGACGTAAGCAGCTGATATTTACTTACACTGAGAAAAGGCAGAGGGTTGCTGAATAAGCACTGAGAGATTTCAGCTGCTGTCTGGGCTTCCACTGGCTTTCTACACCTCCCTTTCTTCATGTGTTCAATACTCTTTCCCTGCGTCGTTTCATTTTATTTCACATACAGTAACTTAATTTGTAAACTAATTCGTTTTGTTTACTTTGCATATATGAATTTATTTACTTGTTACCAACATCCACTGAAAACTTCCGAGCCAACAGCACCTTTAGAAATATGTTTTCTAAGAAAAGTGATGATGTGTTTAATACTCATTTCCCCCATTCTATTTTTAGAGATGTACTTCCTCTTAAAATACCACATTAAATATTAAAAGGAAGCAGTTTAAGTGAAGTAATATGTAAACAATCCAAAAGACATAATGATAGACAGTGGTCATATTTTAAATGTAAATGCAAAACGTTACTTGGTTTTTGGTCTTATGAAAGATCATACATTGTGAATTCTGAGGCGTAGCGAATGGGAAGAGATGAGTTCCGTCACATTTCGGCCAATGTCCATCCAGGGTTTGTAGTAAACAGGCAGATCCATCTGAAAAATAACGTGGAAGTGTAAATATAAGACGTGTCCATAACACACACTTACAGAAATGAAGGTACAAAATCTGTCACTGGGGCGGTACCTTTTTAAAAGGTACAGTACATTTGTTCCTAACAGGTCCTTAAAGGTATCTTAAAGTGCACCCATGTGAAAATATACCACCACAGTAACAGATTTTATACCTTTATTTCTGAGTCTACAGTATGTATCCTAATATATTAATGAAGATTTATTTGGTAGACTTTTTTTTAAATCCTCTGTTTGTCTTCTGTCATTTTTTATCAAAAAAAGTTTGGCTTTTCACAGATCACAGAATCATCTACGTGGTCTAAAATACAAATTTTTTTTTTTTTTTTGGCATTCAGTATGTGAACTTATAAAAAAAAATTTGAGGCCATGATTTGAGCATGCTAAGTGGTTGTAAAAAAAAAAAAAGTCACACTTGTGGTCTTAGCAGACAAAATTGACTTCCATAGGAAATGAATGGGAAATAGGTACAAATATGAACATTCGATGTAAACAGAACTCGAATCTGATTGGCTGATAGTATTCTGCAATCACAGCATTTATACAGCCTTTTACCCTTTTTACCCAGATCAATAAACTCACTACAGTTTGACAAATATTGCAGCTGTTGGACAACATAATGTACTTTTGAGTTTTATTTTTAAAGAGAATGAAATTGTTCAGATTGCTGTCTTTTCATTGGTCAAATTACAGCTGAACAAATCATTATACTAAAACAGGTAAATGACATTCTAAGTCGACCTCTCTCTTTTGTATGTTGTAGTGCTGTATTTATACCTGAGTAATCTGCTAGTGTTTGCTTTGCTTTGACTTCTTTGGGGTTAATTATCTCCCGATTGCTGGCATTAGACTGATGGCGTTTCATGCCGTTCATACTTATAATCTTGAAATGTGAGCAAAATCAGTCATCCCTTTTAGACATTACGCTAGAGAATCATTCAAATACTAGTTCTAAAGTGACGTTGGTGAATTAGTAACTAATTCTGCTGTTTTGATGTCAGCTGCAGATATGAAAGAATGGCGGAAGAAAGTAGTTCCTCTTACAATAGGGTTTTAAGACTCTCCGTGTTTGATTTTCTTTTTTTTATACACGATTATGCCGTCAAACTGTTGTATAAACGCAATATCACACTTGTAGCAGTGCAATATGGCTTTATTTTGTTACTGGTGGGACACTAAGACACTCTGTCTCAATATATAATCTATATTGAAAATTCTTATAGTTGAACAACATTTCCCTAAAGGCTTGTTTGTTTTTCATAACTGATGTCTGTGTTGTTTAATATTATTGTTTTGTGTTCATCATTTTTGCTCATTTTCAAAGTATGTTACTGTTCATTGAACAAATTACTAAATTAAATTTTGAATTCTACAAAATGTTATGGTTTTTGTGTAGTCTCTTTATAGCAATTTGTACAGTTTTTTTACTGTAGTGATACAAATATTTAAACTTCAAATCCCCTTTTCAAACTAAAAATATCTAAGACTTGTCAAAAGGAAGTCTTTTAGATTGTCTGAATGTTTTTTATACAATACAATGCCGCTATTTTGCCTTCCCCAAATTGTATTTTGAATGCAAACTGAATGCAAGGGGTCCTATTTTAACTGGATATACTGCAATAATAAAAATAAAAATTAAATTAAATTAAATTAAATTAAATTAAATTAAATTAAATTAAATTAAATTAAATTAAATTAAATTAAATTAAATTAAATTAAATTAAATTTCATTGTTTTCAACTGGAGGAAAATGAATGTTAATTACTGCATAAATATTAATTACTACCACAAAACCCTCTCAAAATTAAAAATAAAAGAGAAAAAATATTATTAGACAAAATCAAATTTGATTGATTGTACTAAAAAAAACTGCAGATATTTTACAAGCATTTATCTCTT